TGCAGCTGTGCATGGTAGCCAGCTTCTAACCTCAGTTTGTTCAATTAAGCTTTGGAAGTAAAACCTGGAAGCCGATTGGATTCTATGCAGAAGTTCACTCGATTTTGCACTCTCCAGCTTTAGTAAATAAACCCCTCTGTGGCCAGGGTTCCTAGGCTCATGAGATACAAATAAGTAGAAGTATGGGAAGGCTTTTATTTCTGTTGCCAATTTATAGACTTTAATATATATAGAACTGGAATAATAAGGTGTTTTATTGTCATATTCCTTACACTTTAGAAGCTAGCCAATGCAGTCTCACAAAAATGGATCTCAACAGCTACCTATCTGAACTCAATTTCCCCCTTTTCTATGTGCCCAGAGTATCTCGTTAAAGATTTCTTTTACGGAAAAGTGAAGTGGTGTTAAACTACTGCTGGGAAAAGTCCAAATCGCTTCCAAAAGACAACACAGCTCATTAAGGCAGTTAATGAGTGCGTAGACACAAAAATATTCTGTTTATAGATACTTCCCCTGCAATGACATCATCACACTTCCACGTAAAAGACGCAGAATTTCTGAAATCAGGATAATTGAGAAAATACGGGTTTCTTATAAACTACTGGAAAATATGACTGGGCTCAAAGCAAAATATAATCAATGTGGCATGCCAGCGGGGTATAAAGAAAGCTTTGTTTGAGTAATTCAAGAGGGAATTATTCATATCGCAAGTTATGTACAAGAACAAATGGTGTGCTTTTCTATATGCGCTGTCATCGGTCTATGGGTTAGACATAAGAGTATGATCTAGGGCCAATAGATTGTACTATCCATTCACACCTACTTAATTCCCAGAAATATGAAACGATTTTCCAGATGAACACCTATAGGGAATTGTGACTGAACAGCAATGGCATTACCAGATGTGTATTGTTCACTTCTCTAGTAAATGTCGTCTTTTAGTTCTAATGCAATACACAATGAGGGAAAATGTCACCTTCACTGGGACAAAGTAGATGTGATCTATGAAAACAGAAGGGACAATACTGTGCAGAACTAAGATTTATCATGTATATTACATATCAAAGCAAGTGCAAAACAGGGGAGAAGTAAGACACATTTGCTATAAACATGTCACATGCAACAGTGTGGTAATATGTAAGTGCGGTAAACCGAGCTCCTGGTCTTCCCCCCACCCGGTGCCCCCCCCCCCATCTTCTCCATCACTACTAACAACGCCACCATCTCTCCCACCCCACATGCCAAAGTCCTGGGTGTCACCCTGGACTCCCACCTCTCCTTCCTACCCCCACGTCCAACTGCTATCTAGATCTTGCAGGCTCCACCTCCGCAACATCTCCAAGATACGCACGTTCCTCACCCCAGACACCACCAAACAACCCGTACACTCCCTCATCATCTCACGCCTGGACTATTGCAACTCCCTTCTCACTGGCCTACCCAAACGAGCGCTATCCCCACTCCAGTCGATCCTAAACTCAGCGGCTAGACTCATCCACCTCACCAACCGCTCCACATCTGCCTCCCCCCTCTGCCAATCCCTTCATTGGCTTCCGATTGCCTAACGCATCAAATTCAAACTGCTAACTCTGACCTACAAAGCCATTCACAATGCCGCCCCAAACTACATAACTGACCTGATACCCAAATACTACCATACCCGTGCCCTCCGCTCCTCACAGGACCTCCTACTTTCTAGCTCCCTGGTCTCCTCCTCCCACACCCGATGGAAGTCCTGGAGAAGTCCTGCACCCATCCTCTGGAACTCCCTACCCCAATCCATCAGACTGCCACCTACCCTCCTCACCTTCAGGCGCACCCTGAAAACCCTTCTCTTCGGGGATGCCTACCCCAACCTCACCTAACACCCGACCTCACCTAACAACTGACCTCCTCCCCTCCTCCCGCCATTCCATCCCCCACAGCCATCTCCTCCTGTGTCACCTTCCCCTCCCTCCTAGATTGTAAGCTAGAAAGAGCAGGGCCCTCGAACCCCTCGTGTATTGTATTGTTACTGTCTTGTCTCATGTTCTGTCCCCCTTGCTATTGTACAGCGCGCTGAACATACCCTTTGGCGCTATATAAATACTGTATAATAATAATAATATACAATGCGACTGAGCATGTCAAACTGTTCCTCTTTTTATTGCTGTCTCTGCTGTAGATACTTACCCTTTCTATTGTGTCACCATAACAAAACCACGGGTTGCAGAAATGAAAAATCGCTTGATTCCACCATCAACAGTCGATGTTGATGGGGAAATCCCTCCCACGGAGCCACTGTGTTCTCCCGTCCCCGCCGGGAGAACACAGTGATTACTGCTAGTGGCTATAACAGCCACTAGCAATAATTGCATCTAAAATCTGACAGGCTGGTTGTACCCAAGTTGATTGATCGATCAACTTAGGTACAATCATCCTGCCCATAAATAGTTAAAATCTTGGCCAGTCCCTGCTGAACTGTCCGAGATTCGAACCGTCTATGGCTGGCTTAAGAAGGGCTTTCCTTTAACTCTGTAAAAATTTCCTCTCATTTTCAGTTGTAAATACAATTGAAGGTAGTTCTCCCCTATGGACACGACAAGATTGTCAGATTTCAATAATTTCCTGTTCCACCTAAAAGCTGAAAAATGTTTGGCTGCAGATACACTTTAAAGGAGATGTATGGCCAAAGATCTTTTGTTCTGCACTCCTTATCCGTTTTCAGCTGACAGCAGGCTAAAGCCCACTGTCTGTTGACATCGCTCAGCCGGCCCAGGCTCTGGAAAGATTCTTTTATGTCTGGATCCACCCAGATGCCTGAACTGGCATTTGGCTCAGCCTTCCAGCGAGCCGCTGAGAGCCTGAGCCAGCCACTCCCTTCCCCTCCACAGCCCATGGACTGATGCTGCATCCACCTAGGTGAGTATCTATGCTTGTTTGTTTTTTCCTGAACTTCTTTTTTAATTTCATGTGGATTTATGGTGTCTCAATTATAGGGGTAACTTTGGTATGGACTTTATAATGCAATGTTAGTTGGCTACCCAGCACTGCAGGTTAAACAAAAAAAAAAAAAAAAAAAAAAACAGGAAAAAAAAAGAAAAAAGAAAAAGGTTGCAGATCCTTTGCTAAAATGTAAGACAGGCAGATTTTCAATAAATAGGAAGGGAAATGATAATGTTAACATTTTCCAATGATTGTGGACATACCGGTAAGTCCCCATTCACACTTGAGCATTTTTCCTCTCCTTTCCCTATGCCTGTCTATATCTTACTACACTCGACTATGCTGACTTCCCATTCTTTCAAAATTGTACATTTCATACTTGTATGCTCAGTTAGCCTATGCTCTACACCAGGGGTGCTTAACCCATGGCCCGAGGGTCACATGTGGCCCATGGAACCCTCTGATGTGGCCCACGACCTCAAGCCAGGGAAGCACATGCCCATTGATGGCAGGTCAGCAAGCCCAGATTGTGAACAATGGGTTGCCGACCTGCCATCCCAGAGTGCATGGAGCCACAGCCAGCAGCAGAGGAAGCAGGCAGCCATGGAGGAAGCATGAGCCACATAAGCCAATGCTTCCTCTTGGAGTGATACCAAGTGCACTTCACCTGGGACTTTTCTAGCAGCCTGGAAAGTGATGCCAGCATAAGCTGGAAGAGGAAAAGGTCAGTGTATTATCAGATGCACTGTTGCAATGGGCATATTAGCACTTATAAAAAAGGGTTATTAGGTTGCTTTCACACTGATCTGCAGGTGCACCTATGGCTTTCCTGTGGGTTAGCTGAGCCATAGACTTCTATTACATCCTGTGGGTTTGGTGCACTTTCTGAAAGAAACAAGATATAATAGAAGTTTATGGCTCAGCACAGCTAACCCGCACAAAAGCTGCAGATGCACTGAGCTGTACCTGTGGTGCGGGTAAACTGTAGTGCATCAGTATGAAAGCAACCTTATAGGGGGTCAGGACAGTAATGGCTTGTTTACATTTGCGGTTTGGTGGCGGTAAAACCCCATAGTTCATTGTGGCCCACAACCAGTAACCAAATTAAGCGGCCCTCACTCTTCAAAAAGGTAGGGCACCTCTGCTCTACACTCAAAACAGCATGTTTCTTTTTTTTTTTTTTTTACGTATATTCAGGCTTTTGATCCCACAGGCATTGACATGAATGCCTATAAATGCACTATGCAAGCATTTTTGCTTTTGAAGTTTGATACATGTGCAAGAACATCAGTAAAACACCTGTAATGCACCTGAAAACCGCCAGTAAAACCTCTGGAAAAAAACCCCTCAAGATCACCAGGAATACTGCTCAGGTCTGAATGCAGGCTAAATGTTATTTAATTTTGGATAATGTAGACAGATTTTAGTACCTCTGCCACCAAAACAGAAAATGATGAGAAACCCAAAATTGTACAGTTGTTACCAAAACCAGAGGTGCGGTGTGAATCTTCTAATGCACAGGTGTCAAACTGGCGGCCCCCCAGCTGTTGCCAAACTACAAGTCCCATGAGACATTGCAAGATTGACAGTTACAAGCGTGACTCCCAAAGGTAGAGGCATGATGGGACTTGTAGTTTCGCAACAGCTGGAGGGCTGCCAGTTTGACACCCCTGCAACTGAAATACAAATGTTCCAGAGACAACCAAGAGAAGAATACCCCTCACTCTGCAGAGATTTCCTCCCACTTCCTGTTGTGTGTCTGGGAAAGGAAGTGAAGATATAAATCTTCAGACTGCAAAAATGTATTAACTGAAGAATTTGAACCCTTCCTTAGTCTGCCCAAATAGATTTCAATATACAGGTCCTTCAAGCGGTCATTATAAATACCAGAAATGCATAGTGTAGGATTCTAAAATTCCTTTTCTAGAAGAAACACACACCTCTGTGTGTAGGAATACAGGCCAATGTATCCCCTTTAAGAAAGAGCCCCTTCCATCCCATCAGAATACATTTATCCTTCTCTCAGCAGCATTCATCAATTACAGCCTTCCGAGAACAATGTACCTTTTTCCTAGCTATTGTACTATTACCATTACTAAAAACGTATAGTTAGAGATCAGTAGAAAGATGAAACAAGGAAAGGAATGCTTCTTATAAACACAGGTTAGTAGAAAGGAAATGAGAAAGAAGAAATGGGTTATAACCTTTTCTATGAGGTTGGATTCCTTATTTACAAGCTGTGTTAGTTTCTGTAAGTTTGCATCTATTGATTCCTGTCCAGCAGGAGATGAACCTATAGAGCCAGGGAGGGCGAGAGCAGAAAATAGCAGTATTAGTACAGGACATGAGACAGATTGTTAATTCTAAGTCAAAGTGCATCTGTAAGGGATTGTAACCTTTTTTAAAGATGAATTCCAGGTAATGGATATTTTAGACAGATGGGACCAATGTAACTATGTATATACCATACGTGGGTGATGCCCCTAGAACAGGGGTGTCCAAACTTTTTTCAAAGAGGGCCAGATTGGATGAAGTGAACATGGTGGAGGGCCGAACATTTTTCCAAACATTCTTTGAACCATTACAATTAAATGCAAATAAATTATTTTATGCCAAGTTACCGTATTTTTCGCCGTATAAGACGCACCTGACCATAAGACGCACCTAGGTTTTAGAGGCAGAAAACAGGAAAAAAAAAAAAAAAATTCTGAACTAATGGACTGCAGACACAGTACAGGAGATGACCAGAGACTGCGGACACAGTACAGGGGATGACCAGAGACTGCGGACAGCACAGGGATGACCAGAGACTGCGGACAGCACAGGGATGACCAGAGACTGCGGACAGCACAGGGATGACCAGAGACTGCGGACAGCACAGGGATGACCAGAGACTGCGGACAGCACAGGGATGACCAGAGACTGCGGACAGCACAGATGACTGCTGACCTTTGGGGAGGTGGGGAGCGGGTACCTGAATTTGACAGGTACCCGCTCTTACTTCCGCAGTTGTTCTTTGATCTTACCTGTTCCTCGATCCAGCCGCGCGCTGTCTTCCCGGCTTCTGTAATGGCGCTCGGCATGACAGCCGGGTGCCCAGTGCGCATGAGCGAGAAGCACTTGCGCTTTGTGATTGGTCCGGCGGCTTCTGGGATCTGTCATGTGTCCCAGGTACCGCCTTACCATTCACAAAAAGCACCGCTTCTTGCGCATGCGCACTTGGCACCCGGCTGTCATGCCCAGCGCCCACACTACAGAAGCCGGGAAGACAGCGCGCCGCTGGATAGAGGAACAGGTAAGGTCCCGCTGCAGAGCTGAGCGGCCGGCCTGGTATTCTGACACGGCCGCGGTGGAAATACCGGACCGGCCGCTCCATATTCGCTCCATAAGACACACTGACATGGAGGGCCGTATTAAACCGACCCTCGGGCCATAAATGGCCCGCGGGCCGGACTTTGGACATGCATGCCCTAGAAGCTGAAAATCACTGTAGGCACCACTACTCCAATGACATCCACTTGATTCCAGGTCTAGCTCCAAGAGGCTCCCTTGCTGCATGGTGAACAAAGGAGGTTGGCCACACGGCATGGTGGCCATCCAGAGAAAGCTTTGCATTTTCCGAAGAAAACCACCTCTCCATCTTGTCCATTCAGAAAATGCAAAGCTTTCTCTGAACAGCGCCTGTGCCCAAAGCCCAACCTCCTGGACCACTGTGACTATGTATAAAATAAAAGATCTACACCTGGAATTCTTCTTTAAATAATATAGCTACGTACACTACAAGTATATCCCTTTACTGTATGCCTGGAGCCAGGGACGGACTGACAACTCATGGGGACCCCGGGCAATAGGAAATAATGAAGCCTCACCCACACTCAAACCACACCCAAAAAAGCTTATGAAACGTACCAAGGGCATCTCATGGGGCCCCCTACTGACCCCGGGCAGTGCCCGAGAGCCTGAATGGTCAGCCCGCCCCTGCCTGGAGAGCTCCTCTGATCCTCGTTGCACACAGAACAGAGCCCTTAAAGCTGAACTCCAGACAAACCGCTAAATACACAGTTGAGAGCCTATAGTTTGGTTTATAAAGTGAAAAGTGACAAAATTTTCACAACTGTTACTCTACGCCCTTTCAAGGAAGTTGAAATAAAGCAATCAAGATGCTATTGAAGTGTAGATATTCAGCTTTAAAGTGGTTGTAAAGACTCAAGGTATTTTACCTTCATGCATTCTATGAATGAAGATACAAAACCTGTGTGCAGCAGTCCCCCCAGCCCCCCTAATACTTACCTCAGCCCCAATCTATCGATGTGTACGAGAGCCTCACACACAAACTCTACCTCCTCATTGGCTGAGCCAGCAGCGCAAGTCATTGGCTCCTGCTGCTGTTAATCACAACTAGTGAGGAGAGGGAGGGGGGCAGGGCTGACTGCTGCTCTGTGTGTGAATGGACGTGCAGAGCAGTGGCTCAGGAGCAAGCCTGCTTGGTTGGCCCTATAGAAAGTGGTTTGCTCTGGGGGAACTTGGCAGGAGGGAGGGGCGAGGAGCGCTGGTGGGGGATCTGAGAAGAGAAGGCTAAGGGCTGCTCTGTGCAAAACTAGACAAAAGGTAAACATGACAATTTTTAATGAACTTTAATATAACTTTAATACAAACAATTTAACAAAAATATTGTACAAGCCATGTAAATAATAAAGCAAACATATATATTAATATATATATACAGTCAGGTCCATAAATATTGGGACATCGACACAATTCTAAAATTTTTGGCTCTATATACACCACCACAATGGATTTGAAATGAAATGAACAAGATGTGCTGTAACTGCAGACTGTCAGCTTTAATTTGAGGGTATTTACATCCAAATCAGGTGAACGGTGTAGGAATTACAACAGTTTGCATATGTGCCTCCCACTTGTTAAGGGACCAAAAGTAATGGGACAGAATAATAATCATAAATCAAACTTTCACTTTTTAATACTTGGTTGCAAATCCTTTGCAGTCAATTACAGCCTGAAGTCTGGAAACACATAGACATCACCAGACGCTGGGTTTCATCCCTGGTGATGCTCTGCCAGGCCTCTACTGCAACGGTCTTCAGTTCCTGTTTGTTCTTGGGGCATTTTCCCTTCAGTTTTGTGTTCAGCAAGTGAAATGCATGCTCAATTGGATTCAGGTCAGGTGATTGACTTGGCCATTGCATAACATTCCACTTCTTTCCCTTAAAAAACTCTTTAGCTGCTTTTGCAGTATGCTTTGGGTCATTGTCCATCTGCACTGTGAAGCGGCATCCAATGAGTTCTGAAGCATTTGGCTGAATATGAGCAGATAATATTGCCCGAAACACTTCAGAATTCATCCTGCTGCTTTTGTCAGCAGTCACATCATCAATAAATACAAGAGAACCAGTTCCATTGGCAGCCATACATGCCCACGCCATGACACTACCACCACCATGCTTCACTGATGAGGTGGTATGCTTAGGATCAAGAGCAGTTCCTTTCCTTCTCCATACTCTTCTCTTCCCATCACTCTGGTACAAGTTGATCTTGGTCTCATCTGTCCATAGGATGTTGTTCCAGAACTGTGGAGGCTTTTTTAGATGTCGTTTGGCAAACTCTAATCTGGCCTTCCTGTTTTTGAGACTCACCAATGGTTTCCATCTCTTGTGGTGAACCCTCTGTATTCACCCTGGTGAAGTCTTCTCTTGATTGTTGACTGACACACATACACCTACCTCCTGGAGAGTGTTCTTGATCTGGCCAACTGTTGTGAAGGGTGTTTTCTTCACCAGGGAAAGAATTCTTCGGTCATCCACCACAGTTGTTTTCCGTGGTCTTCCAGGTCTTTTGGTGTTGCTGAGCTCACCGGTGCGTTCCTTCTTTTTAAGAATGTTCCAAACAGTTGTTTTGGCCACTCCTAATGTTTTTACTATCTCTCTGATGGGTTTGTTTTGTTTTTGCAGCCTAATGATGGCTTCACTGATAGTGACAGCTCTTTGGATCTCATCTTGAGAGTTGACAGCAACAGATTCCAAATGCAAATAGCGCACTTGAAATGAACTCTGGACCTTTTATCTGCTCATTGTAATTGGGATAATGAGGGAATAACACACACCTGGCCATGGAACAGCTGAGAAGCCAATTGTCCCATTACTTTTGGTCCTTAACAAGTGGGAGGCACATATGCAAACTGTTGAAATTCCTACACCGTTCACCTGATTTGGATGTAAATACTCTCAAATTAAAGCTGACAGTCTGCAGTTAAAGCACATCTTGTTCATTTCATTTCAAATCCATTGTGGTGGTGTATAGAGCCAAAAATTTTAGAATTGTGTCGATGTCCCAATATTTATGGACCTGACTGTATATATATATATATATATATATATATATATATATATATATATATATATATATATATATATATATATATATATATATATATATATATATATACATATACATACACACACACACACACACATATATATATATATATATATATATATATATATATATATATATATATATATATATATATATACACATATACACACACACACATACATATAGACACACACACACTTAGTCCCCCTTAAATGCTGCAGCTTATCAGCCCTTACATGTGGTGACTGCATTTGTTTTTCCTTTTCAGGCTAAGAATGCTTTCAGCAAGTACAGAAAATACTAGTTCATCTTGCCAGGAATGCAGTGTTGCCTACCATATTTTGTAAGCTAAAAAACAAAAGCACACGCTCATTTTTCATGTGCAAACCACCATTTCCATCAACCCTTCAATGTAATAGAGAAGAATAACAGACATGTTTAAAGTGCAGTCTGTGTGACAACCATGGCTACCCCACAAGTACATAAAAGGCCAGAAAGTGTGTTACCAGGTGAAAAAGTATTTTTTTTTTCTCAGGCTTCTATAGCAGCCACCTCATCTAAGAACAGGTAAGCTACAATATACGTATTACATTTTTGGTTTTGGATTTAGATACACATTAACAGTGCCAACTGCAGTGCTGGTGTGCAGTAACACATTTACCAAGCAAAATTAGTGCTGTGTATCTGAGGGGGCAAAGGTTAGTGAAAAAATGATATCCAGTTTTGTCTGGTTGAGTTGGCACTGCTCTTTGCCCTGTCATGCATTAGAAAATCAGTTGATTGTTACCGGTGTGGTTACCATCCACCAATATGTACCTATAGCTTTACCGTCCATGCTACAAATGAAATGTACATACCTTCAGCATTCTCTGTGAAATAGGCACCAAGGATACGATCACAAAATTCACACAAGTTTGGAAGCTGCTTTAAATGTTCTTGCAGCTGGACTTTGCGAAGGTGAGCTTTATAGAGAGGAGCCAGGAAACCAAAGACAAAAGCATCCAAAGATGTTGGTCTGCAATTAGACATATATTTGAAGTCACTGCTGTAACATTTGCTTGAAATTCAGTTATGACACAACAAAACGTAGTAAATGTACATTCTATAGCAGGTACCTCCAGGCAGTAAGGCACAGAGGCTGGCCCAGAATCAGCATCTGGTATAGTGTACAACCAGGGTGGATAAAAAAAAAAAAAAAAAATCAGATTTTTTTTATTTAAATCGGATTTTTTTTTTTTATTTAAAATCGGATTTTTTTTGAATAAAATGCTTTTTGAGGAAAATATATTACCATCCAAAGGTTATTCCATCATGAAATAAAGATTAGTTTTTTAATTATCTAGAATAAGGCTGTATATGTTTAATTGTTTTGGTAAATAAATTCCATGAATCCATTCACAATGTCATGCTCTTCCAGAGGTTTTTGTAAGATTATTGGGCAGTTTCTCTGCCTACAAGATATTATCACAGATGCTTGGTTTACTTTTGCAGTTCTCAAAACTGAATTTGACTCAGCGGAGATCTCATGCCTCTTCTTCACAGCAAAAATGTTATAACATGAACAGAGTTAAGAAAAAGACCTTAATCCTAACTTCTACAAACCTATGAATACAGAATCAACCCCTTCAGTGCTAAGTTTCAAGAAGTTCAGTGAATAGAATAGAAACAATATTTTTCTGATTGTTTGGAGTGGAATAGATCTGCACAAGAAGAAAGTGAAACTAAGTGTGAGGAGGAAGGGGCTGACAGTCTAAGTTTCTTAAAATATATATATTTTGTTTAGCCAAATTAGTTAACAAACATGGATGTTTGTTTAGGCAAATAACATATGCTGGAATGTTATTGTTTCAGTTGAATAAATCTATTTAAATTATTATTAAGGTAATGATTATTTTTCTCCTTCCTAAGTACAACAGAAAAGTTGTCCAAATATGAATGATTAACCTATTAAACTGGGGATAAAAAAACTAATATGAAAAGTTGTTATTCTAAAAATCTTCATCTACTTGCATATTAAAGTTATACCAGCAAGAATTAGTCTATGTAAAAAACTATGATTTAAATCAAGCCTTACTGACTAGTGATTTAAATCGTGATTTAAATCAGTTTGATTTAAATCAAATCCACCCTGTGTACAACTGTAAGTTTATTTATTTTTACTTTCTTTATGGTTCACATATATGCAGATTGGATGTGGTTTGAACTACATCCAATCTGCATGACATGTGAAATAACATTGCTTCCTATGGTGCCTGTTCACATACACTATATTGCCATCCCAGCCTTCGTCCGTAGGGTTCAATACGGAGTTGGCCCATCCTTTGCAGCTACAACAGCTTCAACTCTTCTGTGAAGGCTGTCCACAAGGTTTAGGAGTGTGTCTCTGGGAATGTTTGACCGTTCTTCCAGAAGCGCATTTGTGAGGTCAGGTACTGATGTCGGACGAGAAGGCCTGGCTCACAGTCTCCGCTCTAATTCATCCCAAAGGTGTTCTATGGGGTTGAGGTCAGGACTCTGTGCAGGTCAGTCAAGTTCCTCCACCCCAAACTCGCTCCTCCATGTCTTTATGGACCTTGCTTTGTGCTCAGCTGCGCAGTCGTGTTGGAACAGGAAGGGGCCATCCCCAAACTGTTCCCACAAAGTTGGGAGCATGAAATTGTACAAAATGTCTGGATATGCCGACGCCTTAAGAGTTCCCTTCACTAGAACTAAGGGGCCAAGCCCAAGCCCTGAAAAACAACCCCATACCATAACCCCCCTCCACCAAACCTTACACTTGGCACAATGCAGTCAGGCAAGTACCATTCTCCTGGCAACTGCCAAACCCAGACACGTCCATTGGATTGCCAAACAGTCAAGTTCATTCACCCTAAATCTAATGCACACCAAATCAAAAATATCAAACGTTTTTTGAAGTACCTGTAATGTCATCAAATGTACTAATCAGAATTTTCCTATGACTAATTGTTTGAAAATTTACTAGTGTATGACCAAGTCTCCTTCAGACAAAAAAAAAGAAAAAAAAAGAATACAACACAGGTGCCAGCCACATGGACAGTGTATGTGAACCCCAACAATGAACTTCTCTTCTTTGCTCCATGGTCTTCTAAAAACACCAACACATTTAGTTATATCTGTTTGATAAGTGCAAAAATACCCGCTGATCAAGTCAGAAATACAGAGTGATCCTGGGTCCTGTGCACAATTCCTGTGTTATCTCAAGAAACCTATTAGCCCTTCTAGTTCTTATCTTTGAGCTACACAGCAATTAGTCCTTCTGTTGTGGAGAATAGGATAGTGGGAGGATTTGAGTAATTTAGCAAAGGACAATATCATTCAGTCCAAAAAACCTGGGTGTGATCAGCTCACAATAGTGAGATTAGTGCATTTCTAGCAGATATTTTTTCTGTACTTGGAGGGCCTTTCGAGCAATACAACATGAGAAATGTGCATGTATTCCAGAGATGTACTGCATGTTTTATATATGCAGATATACTGTATATTTGCAAAAACTTACATAATGAAAAAAGCCATCAGTGAAGAATGAAAATTCCTAAATCCTAACTTCAGAGAAGGTCACTTTTCAATCTTGACACACAGCAATTTACCCAACTTGTGATCAGTATTTTTATCCAAATCAGTCAGGTATCTAAGCAATAACGAAAAATGTTTTACTCTGAAGCCATCCGCTGAAACTTGTGGGTTCTCAATTTCCTTTCTGTAACTTACATTTCTCCAAAAAAGAAGCGCGATGCTCCCAGTCTGCTGGAGAGGAGATTTAGACATTCCTTGGCATCTTTGTAAACCTATAAAAACAGAAAATGTTCTGAGCACAAAATCCCAAGATATGACTATTGCAAAACTGGTGATCTCTCTCGAGAATGTTTTTTTGTTGAATGTTCTTCCATTGAAGCCCAGTCATTTCAAAAGAAAAACAAGTCAGGAAAATTTTGGAAAAACCTGGATACTGTATCAATGAGTCACATTATGACATTATCCAGATATACAGCTCTTTATTCAAATAAAATCCTCTCTTGGACTTTTCTGTATTTTGTAGTATTACTGCTCAGAATTAAAAATGAATCAGCTGCATTTTATATGACTAATCTACATAAAAGAGTAGCTACTGTCAAAAGTGGAAAAAAATCTGAGCTGTCCAAACTACCAAATGAAAAATTTAAAAAAAATACTTTGGGTACACTTAAAAGGATAAGTTCACCTTCTGAACAAAAATAATAAAATGTGCATTTTTTTGCAGGTAAAAAAAATGTGCATTTATTATTTTTGTCCAAAGAACCCTGGAAAGCATTGCACTAGCGATCAGTAGATTGCTGATGCCATGCAGGTCTCCTGAAGACCTGTCAGAATATCTGCTTGCTGTACGGAATCTACAAATGGCGGCCGGCAAAATCCATTAGCGTTCCGGGTGGACGCCATATGGCGTCCTCCCAGGCATGCGCAGTTTGCGCGCCTGCAGTGCCACGATCTGTCACCGGCCGTGTACCTCGGACACAGCTGATGACAGATCTGAGTACCGGCCCCATTGCCGATACCATGTGACCTGCTGTGACCAATCACAAGACAGTTGTATACAATGGATGGCTTCATTCATGCCATCCATTGTATACTAGTGTGTAGCTGTGATTGGTCACAGCGATCACATGCACGAGCTGGGCTAATCACAGCTGTGTCATGTGATTAGCTGTGGCCAAATCACAGCTAAGCACAAAAAAAAAAACCCCTGAATGAATCGATGTCATTCAGGTAAATGCTTGCTTATAGCAAAGTAATTCTTTGCTATAAGCAAATTGTGTAAACAAAAAAAAAAATATACTGATCACTTCCCCAAAGTAGTAAAATGTTACTATGGTAACATTGTACTACTTTGGTCATAGTGAAATATGAAAAAAAAAATCGTTAAAAAAAAAAAAAAAAAAAAAAAAAAGTAATAAAAAATAAAAAAAAATTAAAAAAAAAAGTATTTTTTTTTCTTATACTATCACCAGTCAGTGTCCCTGATCACCGCCATGCCAGTTATATGATGATGCTGTACTGCACTGGTGACAGTATGAAAAAAAAAAAAATAGTGAAAATAATTTTAATTTTTTCATTTTCCGAAAAATTATGACAAAAAAAAAATACAACTTCAAAAAACTCGCCATGCCTCTTATGAAGTACGTCAGACTGTCTACTTTGCATATTTGGGGGATATCTGTACTGTTGACATTCTTGGACCTCAAAAAATTAGATTGGCTGCCAGTACTTCAGGATTGATCAATATTCAGATCTATACCATAGTTTGTGACCTCTATAACTTTCCTACAAACTAAATAATACATCCTAATTTGGGTTATTTTCACCAAACACATGTAGCAGAATACATTTTGGCCAAAATTTATGAAGAACAATTATTTATTTGCAAACGTTTATAACAGAAACAAAGAAAAACGTGTTTTTTTTTTTTTTTCAACATTTTTGGCCTTTTTTTTGTTAATTTAGCAAAAAATAAAAACCCAGCGATGATTAAATGCCACCAAAAGAAAGCTCTAGTTGTGTGAAGAAAATAATAAAATTTTAGTTTGGGTACAATGTTGTATGACCGCGCAATTGTCATTCAAATTGTGAGAGCGCTGAAACCTGAAAAATGGCCTGGGCAGGAAGGGGGTAAAAGTGCCCGGTATGGAAACGGTTAAGTACACTTTAATGAAATGTCAATGTAAACAATTTGGGGAAAATTGCGACTGAGGCCTTTATACAGTCTACCTTGAAGGATGAGGAAAATATTAGGAAAAATAGAATGTCCAACAAGATTATCCTTCTTATATTAAAGTACAGGTGTTAGACAGAAAATGGAAATACTACATGATTTGCAGCTGTTAGAGTGACATTTTACGCATTAAACACGAAAGTGATGTAACACTCTTGCTTCTGCTGTGTGATGAGACACCTAACAGGTGGGAAGCCTCACTTTCATAATTCACTGCGTGAGCTGCTATTAAGGAGTCACGTCAGGGCTTACTTAGCCACATAAAGGGCAAACTGTTGGTGTCCGCTTAATTGGTACCGCTCTGAAAGACGTTGCCAATTTATTCGCTGTGTCGCGAGGTACAGTATTAAAGGTTATGATGGCATATACAGTTTCCGGGAAAACGTCCTCTGATAAGCATTAGCCCGGTCATCATGGTCAACTGACCAAGAGACAAAAGGACATTGCGCAGGACTGTGACCCAGAATAAGAAAACAGGTGCTGCAAAAGTGACTGCAGAGCTCAATCTCAGTCCCATGAAGACGGAGATTGAGCTCTGCAGTCACTTTTGCAGCACCTGTTTTCTTATTCCAGGTCACAGTCCTGCACAATGTCCTTTTGTCTCTTTCGGTCAGTTGACCATGACGACCGGGCTAATGCTTATCAGAAAACGTTTTCCTGGAAACAGTATATGCCGTACTAACCTATGATACTGCACCTCACAACACAGTAAATAAATTGGCAACTTCAGTCAGTTATATTGCAGCTTACCAATCCATACATAGTTTTTTTTTTTTTTTAGACTTTCTTCTATTTTCATCTGGTGATCCAACCAGTATGTCGGTTATATATTTCAAAAGAACAAGCTTTCTTTTAGAAGTATCAGTTACAGGGATGAGATAAACCATATACCACTGACAGGGGTGTTTACAATGATGAGCTTGTATTTAGGTAAAACAGTTATCCCAAAAGGAAAAAAAAACCTGTTACTGTAACAGCTTATAAAGTGTGAGCTGGAATTTGGCTTCAATTCCTCAGTGTATTGTAATTTGTGATTTCATCCAATAGTCCCCTCTCCCCAAACTGGCAATGCTGCTGTCCAAATGTGGCCCCTGTGCTCCTTCATCCAGAGCAGGGACACACTAATACAGGAGGTGTGTTACAGGTCAGATCACCAGGTAAAAACAGAGGGCAAAGAAGCCTAAAAAATGGAAACAAATGCAGCCACCACATCTAAAGATTGGCAAGTTGCAATATATTACATTTTTGGTTTTGATTATTAAGGCTTCAGCTGAAATGCATTAGAACTGCGCTGTGATCGTTGATGCTCTAGACCAGTGGTCTCCAAACTGCGGCCCAGAGGCCAGATGTGGCCTTTTGCTTGCCTTTATCCAGCCCTTGGGGCATTATTTCTCCCACTGTGACCCAACAATGAGGCTTAATTCCTGCCACTAATACCAACATTCATCCCCGACACTAATGATGGGGCACTATTCCTTCACCTGACAGCAACAATGCAGCAATATTCCTCACTCTAATACCAATGATGGGGCACTGTTTATTTCAACTGACACCAGGGCATTTCTACTCACGCTGGCCATAGTCCAGCCCCTCACATTCTGAAGGTCAGTAAACTCTTTATTTAGAAAGTCCCATACTCTAGATCACTTGATTTTTTTGATGAATAAAGCATTTTTAGGGATTGTGGACAGATTCCAGCTCTCTTATCAAACTGCATATTTTGGAGATGTGCAGGAGCATGGGCTGTTTGAGCCTGACATCCCGGGAGTGAATACTGACACAAAAGTAGAGCTACTTTTTTGAAGTTTTGTATTTGTAACTTTGATATAAAGTAAACAGAACGGATGTTCTGACTTTAGCACATTACAATTTTCACATTTACAATTATTTGCCTAAAGCTGATCTTTTCTATACACACAATCGGCACCATTGCTACCTGAGCTTCTACTTCATTGAGACTGTACAGAGGAGGCTGCCCTTTGGTCACCAGGATCCTGTTCAAAGCCTCTCTGGACATCTTCCCAGGCAGGTAATATCTCAGAGGGAAAGGAGTGTGTGACGAGTACCAGGGCCTTGTTACATCGGAATAATTCTCAGCATCAACCCAAAACGTGTGCAGCTGTGAAAATACGAATGAAACAGGAAGAAAAGTTAAATAACCAGTACAGAATCTTAATTCAGCTAGAAATCAGTTTAGACAAGATTACATGATTCATAAAGCAATCCCCATCCATATTTCTGACAGATTAAGTGCCGATTATCTTGATTCAGTCAGCAAATCCCCCATGATTTAAAGTGGTTGTAAGGCTCAAGGTGTTTTTACCTTCATGTATTCTATGCAAAAGGTAAAAAACCTGTGTGCAGCAGGCTTTCCCTCCTTATGGAGGGTGTCAATGATGGTTTTCTGCACAACTGTCTGGTCAGCAGTCTTTCCCATGATTGTGATTCCTACTGAACCAGACTGAGAGACCATTTAAAGGCTCAGGAACTCTTTGCAGGTGTTATGGCTTAATTAGCTGATTAGAGTGGGACACTTTGAGCCGAGAATATTGCACCTTTTCACAATATTCTCATTTTCTGAGATTGTGGATTTGGGGTTTTCATGAGCTGTAAGCCATAATCATCACAATTATGACAAATCACGGCTTGAACTATCTTGCTTTGCATGTAATGAGTCTATCTCATATATTAGTTTCACTTTTTAGGTTGCATTACTGAAATAAATGAACTTTTGCACAATATTCTAATTTTTCGAGTTTCACCTGTATATAGCGCCATCAATTTACACAGCGCTTTACATACATATTGTACATTTGCATCAGTCCCTAACCCTCAAGGGGCGTACAATCTAAGGTCCCTAACTCACATTCATACATACACATACTAGGGACAATTTAGACAGGAGCCAATTAACCTACCAGCATGTAGTCGGAGTACCTAGAAAAAACCCACGTAGGCACAAGGAGAACATGCAAACTCCAGGCAGGTGGTGCCGTGGTTGGGATTTGAACCAACGATGCTAGTACTGCCAGGGGGAAGAGGGATGTCTAGAGGGATGCAGAGCAATGGCAAGCTAATTGCTAGGAAGAAGGAGCCAGGAGCGCCAGCAGGGTACCCGATAAGAGGAGGATCCAGGCTGCTCTGCACTACTGCACAGAGCAGGTAAGTATAGACATGTTTTTTATTTTCTTTTTATAAAGTGAACCTTTAGTTTCGCTTTAACTATATCCTGACCATACAAAAGGTCTATAGGTGTTTTACTTTAAAAGAATCCTGTATCGTCAGAGACCGTCATTCTGACCACCTTCTCTCGTTAGTTGCCTGGCTGTCTATGACTTCAACACTGTATTAATCCCTGACTTTGAACAAGCATGCAAATCAAGAAATTCAGAAAAAATACTTTTTCTGCATCAGTAACTCAGAAAGTACAGAAGCAATAAAAACAGCATAACAGCCTGGCAGCTAGCATTTTTAGAAGAATCCAGCATAGCAGCCTCCATACCTTTAGTTTAGGTTTCAATTTCAGGGGCTATTGTTAAAACGTGAACGTGTGTTTGTCCATGCAGGGCAAGCAACAGGTTAGACTTAGGCCCCTTTCACATGTAGCAGACACCATTGAGATCAGCAGAAAGATGGCACCAGATCGTGCTAATGACAGGTCCATGTCTTCTCAGTTTACATAGTGCACACGGACTGAGCCTGCTGTTTTATGAGCAGCCGGGGGTAAATTGATTCCACTATCCGTTTACACCTGACTGCCCTCCAATCCACGAAGGAGGATGGATCCCCTTCCTCTTTTTTATTTTAGCGGACCGGATGTAAGCGCATGTAAATGGACACAAGTCAGTTTACAACCGCCGATTCATAGGGGTGGATGAACTGTCCAAACAGGTCCGCCTGAAAAACTGACCCTTCGAGTGAAGGTAAACTCAAAATCTAATTTTCAGTATGTTTTGCATTAGTTCTTACGGTATACAATTTTTCTAAAGTTGAACTGTAGGATTAGCAAACACTGCCTAAATACAAGAACAACGTATATATTTACTAGAATCTGTGTGTGCTTTTTGTATTTCTTCTAGACCAGTGTGCTAATCCAGCATAAAAAGTGGCCTCCTTTGCAGGAGCTCTTTGTAATAAAGACCAGTTACTACTGCTCTCTCTCCTGGTGCAGAGAGACTGGTCTTGTATGAGGCAGTCTGTAACTGGTGGACTTGCTGGGTCCCTTCCACAGCTCTGCTCTCTCCACATTCTATGTGAAGCACAGAGATTATATCACAGATATTTTTACAAAGTAATACCTGGGGTTGTAAGGACATTTGCTGCACACAAACTAGATTTATATCCTTTGTAGGCAGAGGCATAACTAGAACCTTCAAGCCCCGGTGCAAGAAACCATAAAGAGCCCTCCTGACCCCCAGCCGGGGCCGTTCCCACTGATCCTGGGACACTTTACTCCAGTCACGGGGCCCACAGCAAGACCCTTTCATGTGTTCTGGAGTGGGCCCCCTTCCTGCCATCTTGCCCCCCACCCCCCCACAGTGGTTGAACTCCAGGACCTGGTAGCAAATTTTACCTTTGCGACCCTGGTAGTTCCGCCACTGGTGTCAGCTTTTATTTTTGTGATTTGTTTTCATTTTTTATTTTCTATTGTTATTTACAATTTTTTAGGAGCTCTGTTGGGGGGCTTTGGTGAAATATTAGGGTTCCAAACAGACCTCTGATGTTTCACCTTTGAGAGTTCAGTACAGAGCTTTCCATTCATGCACACACTAAAGCATAGCAAACACAGTTTATGTCAGTTATGAATGAACAGAGTCAGTCTCTATACATTAAGACAAAGAAGAGGCCAGTAATGACACATTTACCAGCCCAGTCCCCACTGCACTGCTGGGGATGAGGGGGGCAAGGGGATCACACAAGGGCCCAATAACAGCAGAAGGTGGATAGGAGGGGTGGCAGGGCAGCATATACAGGAACAGATCCCCTCTGTTTTCCTTCTACAGCCACTGAAAGGCTGCAAGAGGAAAATGGAGGGTATTGGTTCCTCTATATGCCCCCCCAGCCCCCCCCCCATCCAGATGCATAGGGAAACCGCATGGGCCACCTAGAGCATCGGGTCAGGTTGCAACTGCACCCCTGTATGTATGCCGTTTGTAGGTATTGAAGAATATACTGCATGTAAATGACATTTTTTAGCTTTAAGCAAATAATGTTTAGAATCTGAAATTTTAAAGTTTCTTTCCATGAGATCCTGCCAGTAAGACTTCTTTTTGCAAGCTGAAAACGCTAAGCAGCTGAATCGCAGCAGCATTGTCACCCGTTTGTACCTGCTACTTCAGTTGGTCGTTAAGCTGCCTGATACTCCTGACAGGCAACTCAATGGTCAGCTAAAGGAATTTTCTGCAGCAGCAGTGACTGTTGGTCAATATTCCTATATAGTAGACACTATATCAGAGTGTAAATAGCTAGGCCACTTATCCCTTTTGAAGCCTTGTGGCAAGACACAGTGAACACTCCTCACCTTCTCTCTGTGATGTCCCACCTTATATACGTAAATAGAAATTAGAATTGTGCATCGCATTTATCAAAACCCAGACACCGAGAGCCAGCTCATTGTCTTGTAGGGCATTTCTATTTAACAGATTCCAGGCAGAAAGTTAGAAACTTCTCATGTGATGGCATAGCATACCAGCCCTTCTACACAAGGGAATTCCACAGGTCCCAAGTACCTGTTGGTCCTGTCAATGGGACTTGGGATCATTATCTCACATATTTTAGGGCTACCCTCCGCTATGCCCGTTCAGGGAAGAGGTATGCAAAACAATTTGTCAGCTTACATTGGTGGACTTCGGGACCAACAGTTACCTCCAACACATCAATAAAGTGCCAGTAAAACACTATAAAATCTTCTCTCATGGCACAACTTTCTACTGTGGCCCAAGCATATTTTTCAGTCCTATGGAAATAAACCCCCCCCCCCCCAATGATTTGGATGTGGTTCAACAGAGTCAATGAAATTTGTAAGATGGAGATGTAGACATCTACTTTACATAACAGAGAAGACCATTTCTGCAATACCTTGCTCCCCCGGACAGCTTTTACATGTTCCCCTAGTTAGCAAATTTTGATGTTTCAAGAAAATCTGACTTTCCCATCTTCACCTGATTCTGTTAGCATGCAAGTGTTCTTCACTCTTGTACTACTTTTAGATGCTAATAACATGCCTCCTCTGGGCCATGTCTTTAACCCCTTTTCTGCCAGAGCCATGCTGTATAAAAATAATTTTTTGGTAAAATGTAAAAGATGAGGATTTGCCGAGTAAATAGATACCCAACATGTCAAGTTTTGCAATTGTGTGAGCTCGTGAAATGGCGACGAACTTCAGTACTCTACATTTTCCATAGGCAATGCTTTAAGAGCCCTTACAGGTCATCAGTTTAGCACTAACTGTAAATAATGGGTCCATAATTATTGCTGACATGCGCAGTGTTACGTAACATGCATAGCGCAATCAACATTTTAAGGCATAGGTGCACAAGACACATGCATTTACCATTGCACGTACATGTATGTGAGTCTGATTGGTGGGGCCTCAAAAAAATTTTCTTGGGGAAAGTCACATTTTACATTTCGCTTCTAATAACAGGAAAGGAGACCAGTAAACAGACGCTTGGTAGCCTCCTTCCTCTCTAGCCGGTTGCACTCTCCATGTTGGCCCCAGGACCACTGTCAGCTGAAAATGGGTCACATCAGTGCAAAAATAACTGAACTCCTGTGATCCATATGAGAAGTATTGCAAAAAAGCTTTGGCCATACTTCTCCTTTAATGCCTTTATTCTTCACATGGATGGCCGTGACCTGTCTTACATAAATAATCTCCCAAAAATATCTTGCAGAGTACTAACCAGTCTACCCACCATTGCAGGAAGTAGTTTCTCCTCCAGTAGAGCGATGTATGCCAGTGTGTCCGACCCCTCTCTCGCTGATAACACATAATCAGCATTATATTTCTGTCAATAGTAAGAATATAGCATTTAAGTCACAATAAAAGTGCACACTTCAGCTGATATGTTACAAGGATTTTCTAAAAACATGAGCTCACATTGCAAAAATGGATCTTTTACCTGGCAGCATCAATACTACTAACCGCTTTCCTGCCGCCCTATAGCAGAAATACTGCTACAGGGCGGCAGGGGTGCACAAAAATCACATATATACACATACATATACACACACGTAATTTTGCATTTCCAGGTAGAGCCGTGCACTCGACCTAACCGCTCCGCCATTGGCGGCCTCACCTGTCGATCACCAGGTCCTGGCTGGTGATTGCCATGTATCACCGACGGGGGAGAGACCTGTATGTAAAAAATACAGATCTCTTCCTTGCCAGCTCCTGCACACTGCTTTGTATGGCTCTGCAAAACAGAGTCATACAAATCAGTGTGCTTACAGTGTCAAGCGCACGCAGCACACAGTAGAACAGTACACAGCACACAGTTAACCCTTTGATTGCCCCAGATGTTAACCCCTTCCTGCCCAGTGTCATGAGTACAGTGTCCGTGCTTTTTATTAGCACTGATCACTGTATTGGTGTCACGGGGGATGTCAGTGACAGTTCCCCCCCAGTGTCAGAATGCCAGCCGCAGTCCCGCTATAAGTCGCTGATCACCGCCATTACTAGTATAAAAAAAAAATTCCAGTATCTTTACCGCCATTTGTAGACGCTATAACTTCCATGTAAACCAATTAATTTACATGTATTGAGATATTTGTTTTTTTTTAGCAAAAGACATGTAGCAGAATACATTTTGACTTAAATTTATGACAAAATTTGATTTTTTTAAATTTTTTTTTTACTGGACACGTGGATAAATAGCAAAAAGTCAAAAATATAGTTTTGGTTTTTTTTTTCAAAAATTGTGGGTCTTTTTTTTTTTATAGTGCAAAAAATTTAAAAAAACTGCAGAGGCAATCAAATACCACAGAAAGAAAGCTCCATTTGCGGGAAAAAAGGTACATCAATTTCATTTGAGTGCAGCATTGCATGACCGTGCAATTGTGAGTTAAAGTAACGCAGCGCCAGATCGCAAAAAAAATGGCCTAGTCAGGAAGGGGGGTGGGGGGGGGGGGTAAATCCTCTGGAGGGCAAGTGGGAAAAGTAGGTAAATTATAGACGGACATGGACCTTGTGATGTACAATGATCAACGATGGCACATAAAGCTGAAAATCACCTCAAATACACTAGCCTGTGTGGTAAAACACCGTATTTTACCATGCAGGATATTTAAATTTAATATTTCAGATGTGCCTGATTTTAAACCTTTTTTTTTTTGAATATACTAAAGAAAATATAGAAAAACACCTTTAATGTGTCGTTGTACACACTTTCAGAATTGGTATGTACATGACAGCAAAATTATGGTGTTTTCTATAGGAGTTAGCCACAGTTGAATACCCGTTTCTGTTTCATCATCTTCTACTTTGAGAAAATACCTGCCGCTTCTATCCAGCATGAGATCAACAGACCACCAATGCTGGAGGGATCTGCTCCAAGAAACTGTCAGTCCAACAGCGCAGATCAAGCTTAAGGAGCAGATTGATTTCATTGTATTTCACGTCTGCAAAATCTAGTTAAAAAAAAAAAAAGGATTCCAAGGCAATACGAGAAATAAAACTTTCCTTCAACATCTGGTTTTTATATAGGACAACACTATGTACAATGGAGTCATCAAAGAGGTGACACCGTGTGGAATGGCTGTTAGACCTAAACTCCAGGCAAACAGCTAAAAAACAGATGAAATAAACATATAAGCTGTTTTAGTTGCCAAGAGAAGTGTATTTCTGTCCATCCAGTCCTGTGAATTACACAGCTTTGTCGCAGAGCACAGCCTTGCATGGCAGGGCAGGGGACCTGATATTTCTCTGCTGCAGTTCAGCAGCAATTATAGATCTTGCCCCTCACCACCATGATTAAATCTCTCGGTCACTCTGCTCTCTCCAGTCAGCAAGCTCCTTGCATTGCAACACAACTAATTGGCTCCTTGTGCTGCTTCACCCTCCACCAGACTGTTGCAGAGAGGCTGCAAGAGACAATTATTAGGTCATATTTGGGTTCTAAGTCCTCATGCACAATGGATGTTTTTACAGTGGCTGTTTTTGGCTTTTGATGTTTTTTTCTATAGCCAGTAAACTCCCCAGCATGTTATCCTATGTGTCCATGCACACATAGTAATCAATGTTTTTTGGCCGAGATGTTTTTTGGCTAGAAAAAAACCCAGGACTAGTGGGTTCCTAGAGGAGTTTTTTTAGCTGTAAAAACAATCTAATGCTGAAAAATGCAGCAAAACATGGTAAATCGCTGCAAACCAGCGTTTTTAGACTTTTTTTTGTTTACTACAAAAAAAAACAATAAATCAAAAAACATGGCAAAACGCAAAAAAACGCCACTAACCGCCAATACAAAAATGCTGGAAAACTCACGTTTTTAACATGACTTTACACAGCTAACATTACCAGTGTTATTAAAATGTCCAGTGTGCATGGAGCCTTACACTGCTTGCAGTAAAAAAAACAAAAACAAAAACACAATGATGATGTATTAAAGATACAGAGCTACATTACTCTCTGCCTTTTATATATGTCTGGTGTTTGGCTTTAAGCACTTGCCTACAGGGCACTTTCACCCCCTTCCTGCCCAGGCCAATTGTCAGCTTTCAGTGCTGTCGCACACTGAATGACAATTGCGCGGTCATGCAACACTGTACCCGTATGACATTTTTGTCATTTTTTGAGACAGATAGAGCTTTTTTTTTGTGGTATTTAATCACCACTGGGTTTTTATTTTTTGATAAACCAATAACTGAAAATTTTCAAAAAAAAAATGTGTTTCTTAGTTTCTGTTATAAAATGTTGTGAGTAATTGTTCTCCTTCCTGATGTGCGCTAATGAGGCTGCAGTGATAGCCACTGATAGGCTGCACTGACAGACATCACTGGTGGGCACTGAAAGGAAGTATTCATATGGCATGGATAGGCGGCACTGACTGGCACTGTTAGGCTGCACTGACTGGCACTGACTGGCACTAATAGGTGGCACCGACTGGCACTAATACGGTGGCACCGACTGGCAGCTCAGATGTGCACTGGTACCGGGCACCGATATGTGGCATTGATGTGCACTGATGGACACTGACAGGTGGCACTGATGGACACAGATCATCAGTGTAGATGTCTCCTCTGAGCAATGCCAATTAGCGGCTCTCCTCTCCTCACAACATGTCAGCTCATGAGGAGAGAGATACCAATAACTGGCATTTCCTTATTTACATGCGATCAGCTGTGATTGGACACAGCTGATCACATGACAGAGCCGAAGTCAACGGCTCTTTCCGCTGATCGGTGATCCAGCGCACCACCAATTGCCGCATTGCGAGCCCCCGGGGGGGGCGCACATGTGGTTAGAGTGGGAGGACGTCATATGACATCCTCCCAGAACGAGAGAACCACCGACCATCTGTCAGGGAGGCGGTTAAGGAATTCACATTCTATTCAGTTGAAAACTGTACCTTTGTTCTGACATACAAGGGCATTTTTCAGCAGACACGTTTCATTTTCTCAGGAAAAACAAAAGGCAATCTTGTGCTGTAGGCAGGCTTCATCAAGCCCTAAAGAGAGCACAGCTACATCAGAGTACTCATGTTTAGAACCCTATGCATTAAAGGATGAATGACGGATTGCATGCATGGAGCTAGATGCCCCGTGTACAAGGGGCCTAAAGATGAAAGTGAGCAATTTTAACTGTTAAGGAGTGTCAATGGTATATTTAGGAAAGCTTCACAGAGGTCCTGTCTGAGGAGGCAGTCTAAGACTGCTGAAATATCTGTGGATGAATGGGTATGACCACCAAATGTGCTCAAATTTTTATGGCCTCTAAAGCATAGGGTAGATGAGGTTGGACACAATTTCACTCTCAGTAATGGCAATAGGTACCCACCTTGAGCTTATTTTTTAAGTAGTTTTCAATGCATTAACATTGTTAGAAAAAGATTTATTGTTCCTACAGATCTGTCTTGAGTCTTCTACACTGATTGAGGTCTCCAGCTTACTTATGGGGGTGGAGAGGAGAGACGCTCCTCTAAGATGGGAATGTAAAAGTGAAACCATGCCTGATGAGGTTGTGGGTACTTTTTGACACGGATTCAAATGGAGTTAGGGATGAATGCGCATCTGGTTTGATGTACTGCTTTTAAAAAAGGTTTTTAAGTTGTGAATACCTGAAAATCTCAGTATTTGGGAGGTATTTTCGTGAAGAATTTTTTTTGTTTTATATCGAGATTTGGTGCATAATGTGTGATCCCGGCCAGAATTCAGCTGAAGTTTTAGGGAGTTTCCCAACCAAAAGCAAAGAGGGATTAAATAGTAATGACTGTGAAGGGTTGGCGTGTTGATTCTAGGTTTCCAGAGAATGCAACGTTGTCTCAAGAGTCCTCCCAGAAGCTTAGATAAAGAGTTTTCTATTGCGTAGTCTGGGCATCTGTCTATCCCAAATAAAAGGATGTATTTTAGCTTGGGTAGATGAAGGAAGGAATTTGAATTATTAACAACCAAAATAGATATTGACAATGATTATATTATTTGTAATCATAACAGGGTCTCCTTAAGATCTGTGATAAGCTAGGGGAACAATGGGGGCTGGAGGCATTGAAGAAAGCTACAGGGCACTGTAGGGGCCTGGGGGACACTGTGGGATGTCAATGGCCACTGCATGCCAACAAGAAAGGTCGGGTAGCACTATAGGAGTACAAAGGCACTAAGGGAGGTTAGGTGATCAGCGGTTGGCTGGAGGTCCGGGAGAAGCAAAGCTCCTCCTTGGCCTCCAGGCCCACAGCCCAGTGGTTGAGAATCACTGATATATAGT